CCGGCCTAAAGGCCCCCGAAGCCCCCGAGGCCCCCAGCCCCGCGGCCCCACGGCTTCCCGGGTCTGCGCCAGTGGCACGCCGCTGACGGCCCGCCGCGCGTGGGGTGACCCTGACCCCGGAGGGACACAGACCCCGAACTTCTGGAAGACTCTACGACACTCGCTGGAAATCGCCCCTGAGCAACTCCAGTAGCCCCTGCGGACGCCGAGGAGGACCCAGAGCCCAGGCAGAAGGGCCCGCGCCCCCCAGGGACCCGGGGTCTTTCCGGCCCAGTGGAACCTGCCACACCGGGTCACGGGCTCGGCTCCTTCTTTTACTTCCAAGCACCAGGAGGGACTGGGAGGGCCCCACAGGCAGCCCTGGCGCTCCCCGACTGGCGACCAAGGCCCCTCGAGCCCGACGCCTCCAGCTGCCACGACGGCTGCGGGGAGCAGGCACATCTGCCAGAAGACTGTCACCAGCTCGGCCCCCAGGCGCCGGCGCCCTGCCCCGGCCAGTCCCGATCCCTCGCCCCCCGGCCGGGCTCCCCCAAACCCCGCCGACGCGCGGGGGAACCTGTCAGGTGCGGAAGCCGGTCTGCACCCCCGTCGACCTGGACCTCCCCACCGGAGGCCACCCCCTGCCGCGGGGCTCCCACCGCGGCCTCCCCGTGAACCTCGGCAGGTCCGTGTCCTGATGCCCAGGCCCGGGCCAGGGACGCCTCCCACTGAGCCCCCGCACCTCGATGCACTCGCCGCACTCGTTCCTCACAAAGGGTCACGCGAGGGATCCCTGGGTGGCGCAGCGGTTTGGCGCCTGCCTTTGGCCCAGGGCGCGATCCTGGAGACCCGGGATCGAATCCCACGTCAGGCTCCCGGTGCATGGAGCCTGCTTCTCCCTCTGCCTGTGTCTCTGCCTCTCTCTCTCTCTCTCTCTCTCTCTCTGTGACTATCATAAAAAAAATTAAAAAAAAACAAAAAAAAAACAAAGGGTCACGCGGGAGCTTCATCCTCCCAGGAGGGGAAGGTCAGTGCACAACTGGACAAAAGGGACTGAACATACCTAAGGGTGCATGAAAGGCCCTGGACACCTCTCATCCGCTCCAGCCCTGACGGCCATGGAGTCCGGCCGCCCCCGCCCCCCCTCTCCGGGGAAGTCCTCCGCTGACATCGGCAGGATCCACGGGCGCGTCCCGTGAACACGCGGGATAATCCCTCAAAGCTCTGCCAGGAATTAATCAATTCCCCGTAAATAAAGAGGCTGCAAAGGCATCAAGCCCATAAAGGAAGAAGACAAGCCTCAGAGGCTTCTGGCCCCATGACACGGGCACCAACCCTGTAACGCCCCCCCCCCCACCTGTGAGAAAACCCAAAGCCTGGCACCCTGCTCCTCCCAACCCCCACACGCTGCTGACATCCCTTCCCACCGAAGGAACAAACTTTCCACGTAAAGAAACGACGCGGCACGTTTCTCTGGTCCGGTTGGTAAGACGGCCCGCTTGCTTTGCTTTCATTTGGAAGGAACAGAACTGGGGATCCCTGGGGGGCTCAGCGGTGGCGCGTCTGCCCTCGGCCCAGAGCGTGACCCCGGGGTCCTGAGATCGAGTCCCACGTGGGCTCCCCATAGGGAGCCTGCCTCTCCCTCTGCCTGTGTGTCTGCCTCTCTCTGTCTCTCATGGATAAACAGGAATCTTAAGAAAAAAAAAAAAAAGAAGAACAGAACTACACGTGGACATTCAGGCCCAGGGCTGCACAGTCGTCCTGATTTCCGGAGTCGTAACAGCCCATCTGGGATGGGAAGTCCGTGCAGGGTCTACTTTGCTGTAACACCTGGATGAGGCTCTTCTCTGTCCCCTCAGGCCCCTTCACAGGAACACAGGATCCACCTGTTTCATCTGTTTGCCCTCACAGGCCAGCAAGTCTCCAAAGAAAACCTGCAGGTTGTTCTCAACCTCAGGATCCATACACAGGGCGTCTCACCCGGGAACAGGCCCCAAGTGGGGCCACGTGGGACCCCTCGGGACCGCGTACCGCCCACAGCTCACCTCCAACTCCCTGCACGACCCACGGGAAGTGCCTCCCACGGACGCAGGGTCCCTGGGCTAGGGGTGGCTCCTATTTCAAACCTGAAAACGGTGGGGGCCCCAGGCTGGCTCAGTCGGCGTGCACGGGCTCAGAGACCACACACACACACACACACGCATAATTACAAGGATGAAATGAAATAAATAAAAGTTGAAAAGGGTACACAGGGGGATCCCTGGGTGGCTCAGCGGTTTGGTGCCTGCCTTTGGCCCAGGGCGCGATCCTGGGGTCCCGGGGTCGAGTCCCACATGGGGATCCCTGCATGGAGCCTGCTCCTCCCTCTGCCTGTGTCTCTGCCTCTCTCTCTCTCTCTCTCTCTCTATTATGAATAAATAAATCTTTAAAAAAAAGAAAAGGGTACCCGGTGTGCTGGGTCCGTGAGGGCAAGGCCCGGGAAGTCACCGAGCGGCGCTTTCCGCTGGCTACTTCGGCTCAACACGCCGCGTCCTCCGCCCCGACTCCGGCCTTTGTCCCTCGGCACGTGTGAAACTACAAATGTTCAAGCGGAGAGTCACGCCTGTCGGGGAGCTCACGACCTTGAATGTGATGGAGACAATGAGGTGCCCTCCCTTCCAGTGGGGATCACGTAAAAATGGCTCCTCTGCCCCAAATTTATTAGATGTCTTACTTTAAGTGACCTCTGGCACGAGGACGGTTCCTGGTTCCAGATTGGACCACCTGGAGGCCCAAAAAAAACGTTTTGCTGATATTTCTTCAATAAAAGAACAGAATGGATGGGACCCCTGGGTGGCTCAGCGGTTGGGCATCTGCCTTCGGCCCAGGGCGTGATCCCCGGGTCCTGGGATCGAGTCCCGCATCGGGCTTCCTCTCCCTCGGCCTGTGTCTCTGCCTCTCTCTCTGTATCTCTCATGAATAAATAAATAAAATCTTGTTTAAAAACAGAAAAAAAAAAGAGGGGTCCCTGGGTGGCGCAGCGATTTAGCTAAGCCTGCCTTTGGCCCAGGGCGCGATCGGGGAGACCCGGGATCAAATCCCACGTCGGGCTCCCAGTGCATGGAGCCTGCTTCTCTCTCTGCCTATGTCTCTGCCTCTCTCTCTCTCTCTCTCTCTCTCTCTCTCTCTCTGTGTGTGTGTGTGTGACTATCATAAATAAATAAAAATTAAAAAAAAAAAGAAAGAAAAGAAGGGGCGCCTGGGAGGCTCAGTGGGTTGACCATCCCAACTCCTGGTTTCAGCTCAGGTCATGACTTCAGGGTCATGAGCTCGAGCCCCAGGTCAGGATCTGTGCTGAGCACGGAGCTCGCTCACGATTCTCTCTCTCCCTCTCCATCAGCCCCTCCCCACAACCCCATGCTCACATGTACCTCCCCCCCAAAAAAAACTGAAACCCTGCCCTAGGAAACCACAGGCAGACACCTGTCTTCGTCCAAAGGGATGTTTTCCCCAAATGATATTTTACAAAATTGATAAGAGATACCCAACAACTAGCTCCAGAGAGAGGCAAAGAGTATAGCAATCTAGTCCTCCTCAGGCCAGTGAAGAAGTGTGTTTTGGACCAAATAACAATCTCGCCCCACAGAGATCCCATAGTTCCCTCCACTCATCGCAGGACGTGCGTGAACCGACCCACTGGAACAACCCAGCCCTGTTTTTTTTCGCCGGCCGTGTTCAGTAACAGTACTAGTGCAGAAATGTTAACGAGGCCACAGAGTGCCCAGCTCCCGGTCCCAGGCGTCTACATAAACGGGGGTCCCACCTCTTGTGTGGACGGGAGGACACTGTGGTCACCATTTGTGTGTCTTCTCACGGGACAGAAGCCTTCGTGTAGACAGTCCAGGGCCTGTCCTGCGGCTGCAATTCTCTGAGATCGTGCCCGCCTGGCGAGCAGCTCTCACCCCTCAGGGTGACCAGAGCACCCATGTCACCAGCCAGGTGATTCAACAGGTCCATTCCATTTGCCCGGGTTTACACCATCACTTCGCGAACCATCCACAACCCCGGGCGGAGGGAAGCTCTCACGGCACTGCTGATACTCAACTGACACGGTCCAGAGAGACACACACACTCCCCACCCCCACCCCCCACCACCACCCCCACACACAGACCACGTCTGACAGCCCTGCTGTAGGTCCCTCTACATCTACACCCCCCACCCCCCCAGGACCCCCACACACCCACCACCGAGATGTCACAGGGCGTCCAATGCACGGCCCCAGCCTCCTCTGACCCTCAGGGGACAAAAGGAGACAAACTTCAATACTGGGAAAGACCGATCGCTTCTACTGCAAACAGCCACGCTGGGGAGAGCGGCGTGCACAGCGCCCGGCCCGGGAGGACCGCATCACACCCGCCAACCTGCACATTTCGTCCCTGAAAAGCCACCTCCGGCCTCTCCCTAGCTGGGCGGGCCCCCGTGTCGCCACCCTCCAGGGAGGAGGCCCTGGGATGCACCTGCTGCGTCTAGACTCGCGGTGAACCCCGGGGGGCCCTGCACACCCCGTGCAGACGGGACAGCGACAACGTCCCAGGGCGACAGCCGATGACACCTGAGCCACGGGCTTCCGGAGACGTGGGGCCCCAGCCTGGGCTGCTCCTCACTGCGCCTCCTTCTCTCCTTCCCGGACAGACACGCTCCTCGTCTGCCTGTGCAAGACCCAGCGGGAGGGGGAGCCTCTTCGGGGGCCCTGGCCTTTCGGGAACAGGCTCATCGGGATCCCAGGACAAAGTGATCGTTCCCTTGCCTTTTCTCAAGTGTCAGAGGGCTCTGAGATCACAGTCTTCCCTCACCTGAGCTACTAGCCGACGCTGGCTTTGTACCCAAACTCACGGTCTCTCAACACACACCCCTTACAGGCTGTCTTACTGGGTAACATGAATTTGGTTCCAAACAGTTCTTCCAAGAAAAATAGTTTCAAAACAGGTTGGAAGTTGTGCTACTTTGGCAAACACGTCACCAGCTAAGCCCGTGTCCTCACCTGCCCTGTCTCCGCCCAAAGCCCTGGCCTCATTCTCTCCCCGAGCTCCTGCAGGATCCCCTCTCCCGCTCTCCTGCCGCCCGGAGCAGGGACCTCCAGGGCACACAGGACTCCGGGTTTGCCCACAGGGAGGACGTCCTCCCCCAGGTTGGAACAGGTGCCAGTCAACATTTCCGCTGGCTGCCTTCAGGCCCGGGGTCCTGGATTAGAACGGTCACACGATCCGGAATTCTGTTCCTCCGGTCTCGTATTTTGCTGCCTGTGAATTTGTGACACGATGCATCTCACGCTCCTGGTGAACACGGAGGGAGGGCAGGTGCCCGCGAGTCTCTCCCTCCCGTCCTTCCTTGTTACCCAGGTGCGGCCTTACCTGGCTTCCACGGCTCTGCACGTTCCCCGCAACAGAAGACATGACGACCAGGAGAGGGACCAGCCTTCCTGAAGCTGAGGGACAAGCCCACCAGTACCGCAGACCTGCCTCTCGCTCAGAGATGCTCCAAGGAAAGATGTTGTTCCAATGAAGGAAAGAAGAACTTCACACAAAGTTCTCTGCGGTAGAGTGGGAGGCCAGCAGGGGGGCCCTCCTGCCCTGCCCTGGCCCTCATTGGGGGGCCCCACAGGAAGCCCAGCACCCTGCAGGTCCACACTACTCTCCCTGGGACTCCACTGCCCCAGCGGGAGGGAGCCAGCCTCCACCTCCCTCCACCGCCCACCACCGTCCAGCCACTGAGGAGCCCCTGGGCTTCCACCTGTCGGTTTCCTCCAAGACCTTTGTGTTTCCACAGCCACCCTGGCTCCTCCTTTCCCCTGTAAAAGAGCCTTCCCCCCCCTTCCAGAAATTGCCTGTGGTTTTGTGACCTCACACTCCACAATGGCAATTCTCTGCTAATCCGGAACAAATTTGGTTTTGATGGTAAAATAACCAACAGTTTTCATTTTAAAGTTACCGGTGATTGGAACGGTTGGCAGTAACAGTGAAGGATGGACAGATACCCTGATGGAAAAGAGCGGAAAGCACGGACACCTCCCCCTGCCCTGATTCTGGCAAGTGGATCTACGCACAGCAGGTGCTCCGGGGCAGGGGCAGAGGGGGTGACGCTTGGACGCAGGGGCCGGGAGGACTGGCTGTCTGCAGGGGAACAGGAGGTCCTTTCCCTTGGCAACTTTACGGGCAACAACCGATCCTGGGGATTTATTTCACTGTAGTAGAAACAAGCAGAACACACAAGGAGGAGGTTCCAGAAGGTGTGTTTATGCCTGAGCCATGGAAGGGTTCTCTCATGGCACAAAAGAAGGGTGACCAACACAGGAAGACACAGGGAAGGCCAAGTGTATTAAACACGTGGAGAGTCCATCCACGCAGACTCGCAGGCTACAGGGGACAACACGCTGGAAACTCTTCCACAGGAGGCGGAACCCCACCCGTGAGGATGCTCCGCCCTAGTGGGGATCAGAGGAGCCCACGGGGGACCCCAAGGAGATCCCGCGTCCCGCCCTCCAGCTGGACATGAAGCTGCATAACCCGCAGTGCCCGAGGGCCAGGCATCGGCCCACGTGAGATTCACACACCACATCCGTGTTTCTCTATAAATTTTAACTTCCCTTGATGTACGATATGCAATTTTCTGCAGGTGTAAATAATTAATACGGGTTTACACCCAGAGACCAAACAAGACCGACGCAGCACGCTGACAACCCCGAAGCATGGACTTGGGACCTCGGGCCCATGAGGCCCAGGAGGGAGGAGCTCACGGGGTGACCCGCGTCGAGGGCACCTGCCCAGCGACACAGACCAGGGCTGAGCAACCACACAGCAGCCATGACGTCCGCAGGGACACTGCCGACATATTCACCGGCATCTTCAACAGGGCACAGTCAGGTGACACCGCCTGGTGGTGGACACGTGTCCAGCGGCCATCAGGAAGGGGCAGGACACGGGTCACCTTGGGGGCAGCACACGGGTAGATGCTAACACACGAGAATTCAAAGAGCCGAGTCCTGCAAATGTGGCCACATGACAAAAGTCGTATCACCCATGCTGGGCTTACTGGGCAGCAGGAGCCTCTCCAGGAAACACGCGGGAGCAGCAGCAAGTGGGAGCCAGCACAGGTCAGCCCCCGCTGCACCCACACAGCACCAGAAACCCCAGGGTGGGGGTCAAGGCCGGTCCCATCACGGGGGCCAGCTCTCCCCGCTGACACTGGCCAGGGTGGCCGCTGCCAGGGAAGGGGGAGGGGACCCTGAGCCCCCGGGGAACGGTTCTGCAGCTCCACGCACCCCCGCCCCCCCTCAGTGTGGAAACGGCCCCTCCTCCGGGACCCCAATTCTCACCAGGGAGGAAACCCTCAGACTTAGGTGCTGACCCTTAGAGGCTCGCGCTCATCAGCCCTTCCCACGGTGCTTGAGCCCAGGGGGCCCCCTCAGCCTGACCTTCACAGACGGCCCCAGTTTGCACAGATCCCCCCTGACTCCACCAACTCTGTGGCTGATGCCAGGACCAGCTGGGAGGGAGCAGCCCCAGGGCAGCCCCAGATCGCCCCACACTGCAGGTGGGCACGACCCCCCGGCCCCAGGGGCAGCCTGTCTGCAGCCCTGGGAGCACCTGCCTCCAGCACCTGCGTCCCTGCACCAGGACCAAGCCGCTGACCCACGGCGTGAAGCACAAGGTTCAGAATCGCTGTCCCCCGCCCTCCCCCACTCCCCACCCCCCACCCTGGGCTTGAGGGAGCAGGGAGGGAGGCTCGGGGTACACTGATGGTTTAAATAAACGGGAAATGTTTATCCTTTTCAGAAAACACGCAGTTGTTGACTTTACCGTCGTGGTAACAAATCATAGGTCAGAACTGACCACGTTCAGTTCACAGAACCTCCACGATCTCCGTCCGACCTTCGGCAATTAGCCGGAGGGAGACAGGATCGCCCAGTGTCCCAGCGCTGTCCCCGCGTGAACACTCACTAGGATTAGGAGGAATCCTTTCATCCATGAGTCCACCCGCCCGGCATGAAGGTGCGGACCCCCGCACGCGCCCAACCCTTGTGCACAGGGACAGTGTCGGTACCAAGACATCTGCCCCCCCACCCCCGGGCACGTCCCCTGGAGAAGCCCCAGAGCCACACAGTCAGCAGGAGGAGGGCAGACCTCACGCCCTCCGCCCTCCACCCCCAGGGGAAGAGAGGAGGCAGGAAGGGGTCGGTCACGCTCCACCTCCACCTGCTGAAGCCCAGGCTGGCCCGGGAGGCAGCTGGACGGGGACCAGGCTGCCACCGGGGGCGGTGAGCCTGCGGGTCCCCCCAGAGCCCATGCTGCTGGGCACACAGCAGGCGAGCGGCCCGTGGGCCTGGACAACAGCAGGCTGCAGAGAGGGCCCGGCCCCGGCAGAGGCACGACTCCCAGGGAGGTGGCCCGTCCCCACCAGGGCCGCGGCCCAACCCCCAGATCCGCGCCGGCTCCTCGGCCGGACTAGCGCGGCTGCTTGTCCCGGGCCCACGGGCACCCAGCACCTGCTGCTCCCACGCGGCCTGGCTTCGCCCTCCTCCGGCCCGCACGTGGGCCCGGGAGCTGCCCTCCGGGAGCCCCCACGCAGCACCACGCGGGGTGGCCGGCGCTGTCCTCTCCAGCAACGCCTTTGCCGCCGCACCCACGGGTGTCACCGACTCCCCCAGGCCTCCGGCCTCCCCACGGGCCCCGACTTTGTCTCCCCATCGCCACCTGGCTGGAGCAGGTGCTCGGATGCAGAACGCGCCACTGCCCACCTGAGCAAAGGAAGCTCGGAGCACAGGGAGGCCACTCCGGCCAAACCTCCTTTCCGTCGCTGCTCCTCCCGAGGAAAAGCCCTGTTTCTGCTGGACCGGAGGTGCCGGGAGCCTGGGGCCCGAGCAGCAGTCCTGGGAACGGCAAAACGGAGACAGCGGCCCCAAAATGGACTCCTGCGTACCAGGCTCCTTGTCACCAAACCCAGAATTCGCCTGACTGCAGTTTCGGCCTCTCCCAGAAATGGAATGTGACACCAGCCGGTCGCGAATGAGCTGGTCAGGAGCGCCCAGGTCCTGCGGCTGCTAGACCCCAGCCACCCCTGCCGCGGGACGGAAGGGGACCTGCCACAGCCGGCCCACTTTCTGTCTCACAGGCTCCTGCTCCCACTCCTGGAGCCTGTGAAAGTCTTTCATTTTGTGCAGCTCCTCCGAGCTCCTTCCTGCCCGCGAGATGGCACGCTGCCCGGCTCATGAATCACTGAAGAGAGCCCATTACTCGGCTGGATTTTGTTTTCTAGCAGGAACAAGGTGTCCTTAACCACGTACGGATGGGACTGTGTCAGGGGGAGGGAGGGGCCCCCCTCCGCCGCCCCCCGGGGCCCGGAGCCCCTGCCCGCCTGCCCTGGGGTCCCTCCACCGTCTCTGGGATCCCCACCCAGGGGAGGACCCGGCTCGGCCCCGGGGGGGGGGGACAGGGCGCTGCGATCCCACCCGCAGCCGAGGGCACAGATCGGGTCACGACCCCCCCACCCGGGGCGGGACCGCCTCCTCCAGCCGGTCCCGGCCGGTTTCCAGCAGCCCCTTCCCGAACCCGCGCACTCACCATCTCGCGTCCCGCTCGGGGCTGTCCCTGCGACCCGGGCCGCCGAGACCGAGGAGGACGGGGACACCCGCGGCCGCGCGAGGCAGGTGCGCACGGGCGCCGGGACGGCAGCGGAGCGATGGACACGCGGCTGGAGCGCGCCCTTCCCCCGCCCTGATTGGACGGCGCTCCGGGCCTCTGCGCCCTGATTGGACGGCGCTCCGGGCCTCTGCGTCTGATTGGCTCGTCTTCCGGGCACCGCCCCCGGAGCGCGGGCGTACGGTTAACCACCGGGGGCTTCCACGCCTCGGCCCCGCCCCTGCCGCCCCTGATTGGACAATCCCCCAGGCCCCGCCCCCTGCGTGCTGAGTGACAAGCCGTTCGGACACATGTGGCCGACTGGCCTGGGCTGGGAGCAGATCCGCCTCCCAGCGCTCGGATCTCCGGCCACCTGTGTCTGGCTCCCCGACCGTGAAGTCCTGACTCAGTTTCCCCGCGGAGCTCCCCTTGCTGAGAGCTTGGACCGGAGCACCGGAGTGGATGATGAGCCCTAGGGTCAAGGGTTACCGTGGGGGCAAGGTCAGGGCGTATCTGTGCCTTTTGTTTAAGAACAAAGATCCTCAACAATGACGTCACTGCGTGCTGGGAGAGGTCAGTGGGTTTTGACCTGTGACCTTTCACAGCTGGAGGCCCTGACCTCGCTCCCGTTGTTCCCACCTCTGGGGCTTGCGGTTAGCAACCTCGCCCCAACCTTGGGGATTTTGCACCACTACCACCACCTTCCTATCCACCCCCCTACCCCCCACCCCACCCCCGTCCCCGGAAGTGGGACCCTAGCTCTGCAGCCAGTTGTAGGACCCCTACTCAGCACAGCTGCACTGTGAAGTGTTAGAATCCTCAGATGTGCACTGTCCTCTTCACAGTCAAGGCCGCAAGACTATAAAGCATCCAAAAGCTTTTATTTGGGGTCTTAGGCATTAGGATCTGGGAGGCACAGAGTCAAAATCCAGTGTGCTCCAAATTGCTAGCAAGGAGTGCAAGCTTATAAAGGCGAAAAATACACAGTTACATAAGTTGTTTTGAAAGAATTATGATTGGTGCTGGCAGAGTTTGAACTGACTGTCTAATCCGTGATTGGCTATTGCGCTAACAGGCATTACATTATCTCTATTTCAGTCCCCAGTAGGAAGATGTGTTCCAGGAGGTGGTCCCACTGCAAAAGACAAAAGTCAAAAGTTCATGGTGTTCTGAAAATTGAAACAGGAGATGTGCATAAACCTTGCTTCCTCAATGTCCTTCCGACTTTCTTTTGAGTGACTCTTTTAGAGATGCCTTCATTTTCAATCTTCCTTCACACCCTACAAGGAAATGTTTTTAGATGTTTCTGAGTGTATCTCTAGAGAATTTTGTAATATAAAAGGCTGTGATATCCTGAAAGCAATTGAATTCATATTTTAACTGATTTAAAAGCAATAAAAGCTGAAATAAATTTATGTTGGACCTGAAACTCTTAATACACCAGGAGCAGCATTTAATATGACTGCTCATTTCAAAAATCTCTCCCCGCACCCCCCTCCAGTTTTGGATAGAGAAGCATAACCTCCAGTAGCTACTGACCATTTTACTCACAAACATAATTATAAAAATTAATTTTCTCTGTTTTGCAAAAAAAGTCTTACTTTCATAAAAATAAGTGTTCGGGGGAGTTAACAAAATTCATCTCAGTAATTTGAATTTGTAATTGGCTTTATTTAATGATTCATGAATCAGGCGACATCGCATCTTAGCAGATGGAAAGGAGCTCCAAGGAGCTCTGCGCCCTGATTGGGAATGGTAAAACGGAGACAGCCATTTTTAGAGGCAGAAGGGGATGGGAAAAGGAAGTTTCTAGCAATGACTGGATTGTTTCAGGCAAGGTCACCTTCCTTTGAGGAAAGGGGGGTCTACCCAGCAGGTTGTCCCACTGGTGCTGACCAGGCAATCACAGGCTGACTGGTGAAGTTCACATTCCTCACAGAGGCCAAATCTACAATTAGGTTAGGTGTCAAGTCTCCATGTGCTGATGTGTGACTTAGCACAAGTGACTCCATTTGGGACCTGTTGTTTCTTGTGTGTGTGTGTTGTTGTTGTTGTTCTTTTTTAACAAGAAGAATATATTTGAGAATGGTTTCCTATTCAGAAAAGTGACTTTCAATTAAAAATAAATTACTTTTGAGGGCCCCCCCCCGGGGGGCTCAGACCATTAAGCCTCTGCCTTTGACTCAGTTCATGATTCCAGGGTCCTGGGATTGAGCCCCACATCATACTTTCTGCTCAGCGGCAAGTCTGCTTCTCCCTCTCCCTCTGCAATCTCTCTGGCTCTCAGGCTCTCTCAAATAAATAAACAAAATCTTTAAAAAATAAATCACTTTTGAATTATAACTACCTAAAAATCTTTTCTTTGTATGCATTAATAATGAGTGTCATGCATAAAAAAAAATCAGCCTGAGATTTAGAAATCTAAGACTTTAGCCAGGCTTAGGTAGCATGTCCTTCAGCAACTGCTTTCCTGTACATCTGCTCAGTGTTTGTGTAAAAAGGAACAAGTTCACCTACCTGTGTTGTTTTATTTCCTATGTTCTAAAAAAGTAACAAGGTGTACACATTGCAATACAATTTGCTTTTTTGGTTCAATTAAAAATAAATCCTACAGCTTCTCACTTTAATTGGTGACTTTCATAATCTTCCTAAGGGGATATAAAATGATAGAAGTTCATGAACCAGTTCTCTCTACTTATACACTGGGCTTATTTCCAAACTTCTGCTACTCAAATACTGCTTTCTGTTGGGGCAATATGATTGAAAACAAAACCTCCTGCCAACCCAGAAAACCCCTCACAAAGCTAGGAGAAAACAATTTCTGGATCAGCACTAAACCAGAATGTGACATGCGTCACAGGCAATCCTCTAAGAGACTGTAAAGACAGAAAGACATCTCTCCCACTTATACAGCCAAGCAAGGCCAGTGGTGACATACCTGTTCTCAAGATGAGTGTTAACCAGTCCTCACATGACAAAAATCAACAATCGTGTATCCTCCATCCACCCAGTAACTGGGTGGCCATCCGTATTAGTTATAATTGGCTTTCTGCAAAGAAAAAGAACAAACTTCTCTTACCTTTATGGCAGTAGGTAGTTTTGGAACTGATGCATCTCGAAGTGATAGCTCCCAACAAAGACTCCTGGTGGTAAAGCAGGCAGCTTCCTTAGCTTTTATAGAGGTTTATATAACATTTCAAAAGACAGAGAAAGGGTTTATAAACACAAGTTCTCTAAAGAAAATGCTCTTAAAAAAAAGAAAATAAAAATGGAGAGAGAAATGTGTTTCCTTATTTTCAACAGGGAGAATGAAAGCTCTTCGTCTGATCTGATTTGGCCTTACACCTATACACAGTAAATTTCAAAGGATCCCACCATAAAAGTCGTGAGAACCTCTTCCAAACTCAGCGTAAAATCAAAGCTGGGGTGTCTGGGTGGCTCAGTCTGTTGACATTCTGCTTTTGGCTCAGGTCATGATCTCAGGGTCCTGGGATCGAGCCCCACGTTGAGCTCCCTGCCCCTCCCTCTCCCCTCTGCTCTTCCCCCAGCTCGTGCTTGCTTACTCTCTCTCTCTCAAATAAATAAAATATTTTTTTTTAAAACTAGGCATTAAGGGGACACGTGACGTGATGAGCCCTGGGTATCATATGCAGCTGATGAATTACTGAACTCTACATCTGAAACTAATGATGTTCTGTATGTTGGCTATTTGAATTCAAAACAACTGGGAGAAGCTCACATCACGTGGGAAAATAAATATTTGAAAACTGTACAGTTCATGCTTTAAAAAGTCTTTAAATTTGTATTGTGAAGCACATAGTATTCCGGGGGGGGGGGGAATGCACTGAATGTTTCATGCTAAGTTTATTTTTAAAATTTTTTTTAAGATTTTGTTTATTTATTCATGAGAGACACAGAGAGAGGCAGAGACGCAGGCAGAGGGAGAAGCAGGGGGACTTGATCCCAGGACCCTGAGCTGAGGGCAGAGCTCAACCCCTGAGCCACCCAGGTGCCCCCTCATGCTAAGTTTAGTAATTTTAAGTTAAAAAAAAAAAACTATGTGACATTTAAGGAATAAACAATAAAGGCGACTAAACCCAGGCACCCACATTCATGAACATGCTGTTCATCTCTTGGGGTGCCCCCCTCTCCTGACTCGTCATCTCCGGCCTCTGGAGGTGATCACCACCCTGAATTATGTCTTGCTCTTCATCACTTTACCAGCTATTATTTGTGACTAAATGTTTGGTTTAATTCTGTCTCTTCTGAAATTTCAGAAAATGGGTATTCCTGGAATTACACTCATAAGCCGCTTTTGTAGGGTGCGTATCTGTGTTTTCTTACAAGGCTCTGGTCGACCGTGTGGGGTTCCCACCATCCCCTAGTGTTTCTTGTGGATGAAACCACAGGCGAACAGATGTGGAGTTGCGATTTTGCTCAAATTACTCCCTAACATATTAATTATCTCGTGACCCATCTGGTGTTCGCAAAGCAAGTGCTCCAGCAGAGCTGACGCTGCATATTTATTACTTACACTGAATTGTTTTAAAGTCAAAACCGAAGACAATGTAGCATCCCTTAATACTTCCAGTGTATTGGGACTGGCTCAGTCGGGCATGGGACTCTTGATCTTGAGATTGTGAGTTTGAGCTCCACGTGGGGTATAGAGATTACTTTAAAAATTTTTTAAAGATTTATTTATTTATTTATTTATTTATTTATTTATTTATTTATTTATTTATTTATTCATGATAGACATAGAGTGAGAGAGAGAGAGGCAGAGACACAGGAGGAGGGAGAAGCAGGCTCCATGCCGGGAGCCCGACGTGGGACTCAATCCCGGGACTCCAGGATCACGCCCTGGGCCAAAGGCAGGCGCTAAACCACTGAGCCACCCAGTGATCCCCTTAAAAAATTTTTAATAATAAACTTAAAAATACAAAATAAATACTTCTAATGTGTTATTTTAGACAAAAAAATCTACATAGAGAACCCTTCATTATCACCATTATCAAAATTATCATTCCTTTATATCTAGTCTGTGTCTATATTTACTTCAATTGTCCCCAAAATGTTCTTTGTAGATGGTTGTCCTAACCAAGATCCAACACAAGCCATATGGTGCATGGCTTCTTGTTTTATGTTGTATTACACACCAAAATTGATTTTATTTTGGGGGTGTGCGGATCTATAAACTTAGTATTAGTATAGTGTTATGGAAATGAGTTGTGTCTCACCTTCTATTTATTTATTTTTTTAAAAGATTTATTTATTTATGATAGACATAGAGAGAGAGAGAGAGGCAGAGACACAGGAGGAGGGAGAAGCAGGCTCCATCCCGGAAGCCTGATGTGGGGCTCGATCCCCGGACTCCAGGATCGTGCCCTGGGCCAAAGGCAGGCGCCAAACCGCTGAGCCACCCAGGGATCCCCTCACCTTCTATTTGTTTGTGAAAGTCCTGACCTCCAGGACCTCAGAAGGTGACTGTACTTGGAGACAAGGTCTTTAAAGATAATGAAGGTACAATGAGGTCACAGGGTGAGCCCTATGCCCATCTGACCCGTGTCCTTATAAGAAGAGATTAGAGGGGTGCCTGGGTGGCCCACTCGGTTCAGCATCTGCCTTTGTCTCAGGTCAGGATCTCAGGGTCCTGGGATCGAGCCCCGTGTTGGGGAGTCTGCTTCTCCCTCTCCCTGCCCCCCACTCGTGCTCTGTCTCACTATCTCCCTCTCTAAAATATATGAATAAATAAAATCTTTAGAAAAGAAAAGAAGAGATTAGAACACTCACACTCAGAGGGACGGCCCAGTGAGCTCGCGGGGAGAAGACAGCCGTCCACACACCAAGGAGAGCGGCCTCTGAAGCAACAATCCTGCCGACACCTTGACCCCAGACCTCCAGCCTTCGGGACGGCGAGGACATAAATGTGCTGTTCCAGCCCCCCAGCCTGTGGAGTCCTGTGACGGCAGCCCAAGAAGAAGAATATGTAAGTAATCCAGACCGTGCTTTTAAAAAAACGAAACAGGGCTCCTGCTGGCTCCATTGGTAGAGCATGAGACTCTTGATTTGGGGTCATGAATTCAGGCCTGATGTGAGGCATACAGCTTATATAATTTTTTTTTAAGATTTTACTTATTTATTCATGAGAGACACTGAGAGAGAGAGAGAGAGAGAGAGAGAGAGAGAGAGGCAGAGACACAGGAGAGGAGAAGCAGGCTCCCTGTGGGGAGCCCAATGTGGGACTTGATCCGGGGTCTCCAGGATCATGCCCTGGGACGCAGGCAGGTGCTAGACTGCTGAACCACCCAGGGATCCCCCTATAGATTTTTTTAATCAATCTTGGGGCCCCTGGGGGGCTCAGTGGTTAAGCATCTGCCTTCAGCTCAGGGCATGACCCTGGAGTCCTGGAATCGAGTCCCACATCGGGCTCCCCGCAGGGAGCCTATTTCTCCCTCTGCCTATGTCTCTGCCTCTCTCTCTGCATGTCTCTCATGAATAAATAAATAAAATCTAAAAAAAAAAAAGTGGGCAGAGTGGGCAAGCTGTTTCCTGCCTTGGAATTGGTGACCCCTGATGGGCTGTGCCTCCAGGGTCAGGAGGCCCTAAATGTCCAAGCATCAGAAGACAGAAAACAAAAAGCCATGAAGATACATGGGTGAGGACGTGGAGAAGGGACGGCTGCCCACAGCTGGTGGGAATGTCGGGTGGTTCCTCAAGCAGTCAGAGGTAACGTGACCCTGTGACCCAGGGACCCCGCCCGTAGGTACGCACCCACAGGAGCTGGAAAGGGTCTTCAAATAGATGCCGTTCGTCACTGATCATCACAGTGCAAGTCACGAGCTGAAGCTCAATGAAGGGACACGCACAACGTGGCCACCACCCATGGGAACGCCACTCGGCCTTGAACAGGAGCCCAGGCCCCAACGCTGTTCCCACCAACAAAGCCCCCCAGCCCAAAGCCCCCTCCCCAAGGGACCGGGCACAGCTCCTGCTTGTCCCCCACCCCCAAGCCTTGGAATCATTCACACAAGCCAATCTCATCCCACTCCAGGAACCAGCGCCACCACCGTGTCACTCAAAGCCCTCCTCCCGCAGCCCCCGTGTTCACTCTGTGCCCCAGTGTGTCCCCCAAGTGGCCTATGGTATCTGCTCCCCCAGGCTGTGAGTCTACATGACGAATTAATGGCTTGAGTCTCATCTGCCCATTGTTGGATGCCAATGTTGGTTGTCCCCGTAACCTTGGGGTGAGGATCCCCAATGGGTCAAGGGGAGGCGATTAGAACAGATGGTGTCTCACATGGAGAGGGGCACGATGCCCTTTATTGCTTTGGACCAGCCAACTCTGTCCACACACGCATGAGACTACTGGTCACCCTCGTGCCCTCAGCACGGGGAGAATGGAGCCAATGCAGGACCCGGCATTAAAGTGGAAAGCGGGGCCGCCTGGGTGGCTAGGTCCCTTGAGCCTCCGACTCTTGATTTCTGCTCAGATCATGATCTCGGGGTCACGGAATTGAACCCCGCTTGGGGCTCCACGCCAAGGATGGAGTCTGCTTAGAATTGTCTCCCTCTCCCTTTGCAGCTCCTCCCCCCTAAAAATAATAAAAATCATTTAAAAATAAGGTTTTTTTAAAATTTATAATAGTCACAGAGAGAGAGAGAGAGAGGCAGAGACATAGGCAGAGGGAGAAGCAGGCCCCATGTACTGGGAGCCCGACGTGGGACTCGATCCCGGGTCTCCAGGATCGCACCCTGGGCCAAAGGCAGGCGCCAAACCGCTGCGCCACCCAGGGATCCCTAAAAATAAGTTTTTTAAGGTGGAAAACACTGTCACCACACAGAGAGGAAAGGAACCAGCCAGCCCACATACAAAGATGCAGGACACTCAGTCCTCATCCGAACTCGATGCATCAGGGGTTGTGGCGTCCTTAAAACAGGAGCTTCAGGAGGGACCTCTGGGGGGATGAGCGGCTGTGTGTCCTGATGTGGCTGGCGGCTGCACAGACCCACACGTGAGGTAAAATGGCACAGAAGTCTACACACACACACACACACGTGCGCACACACACGTGCAGATAAAGCTGCTGAAATCTGAACGAGGCCTTCGGTTTGTAGCAACGTCGCTCTCCCAGTTTTGATATGGCGCTAAAGCTGTGTCCCGAGTCACCCCCTGGAGTGATGCACAGGGGACAGGAGGCATCTCTGTACTACTGCAACGTCCGATTTTTTTTTAAGGTGATTTTAAGGGACGCCTGGGTGGCTCAGTTGGTTAAGCATCTGCCTTTGGCTCAGGTCAAGATCCTGGGCCCTGGGGTCCTGGGGTCCTGGGGCCCAGCCCTGCATGGGGCTCCCTGCTCAGCCCGCAGTCTGCTTCTCCCTCCCTCTGCCCACCCCACTGCTCATGCTTGTGCTCTCTCTCTCTGAAATAAAATCTAAAAAAAATAAATAATCAATGGCGTCAGCCAGCACACACTTCTTTTCCCCACACGTGGAGGTGCAAAGGTGAGGTCACGGGGCGGGGGCCCTGGAGCTACTGCAGGTGCAGGCCCCGCGCCCGGTGCAGCCTGTGCCTGGGACCCTCCGGCCTGCATGGGGCTGCCTGCAGCCCAGGTGCAGTAAGAGGCCAGGGAGCCGGGGTGTGGGGGGGAGGACCCGCAGGTCCTCTCCCTCCTGGTGACTCCCCCCACCCTGTCACCCAGGAAGTGGGGCGCCGCAGCCATCAGATGCAAGGAGAGGCAGGGCGGCGCTTTGTTCCCGGAGGCCGCGCTGCCCTGAGCGCAAGGGCCGCTCGGCTTGGAAGGACGCAGCGGGTGGCCGCGAGGGCGTCTGCTCTGCAGCCGGGGCACACCTGTGAGGACGCAGAATTCTCCTTCTCAGCACAGGCCCCGAATCACACCATTCGCACTGGCTGGTGAGGGGAGCACCGGTGACCCAGGCCAGCAGCAAGGTGCCAGCAGGGCGGGCGCCCCAGGATCCGCCTCCACTCGGGGGGGGGGCGCTCCCGGGGGGGTGCCCTCTTCACCCCCTTGCACCCAGAGGGACCCCAGGTCACCGGAGGCGACCCTCGGGGTCACACGGAGGGGCTCTGGCCGCTGCCAGTGCACACCCTTGTCCCAAGGGGTGTGCGGTGACCCCAGCTCTCGTTGCCGGAGCCCCCAGCGCACCTGCTAACAGGAGAGGACCAGCGGCTGCGGGTCCCCGCCCGGCTGTTCGTGGGGGCGCCCCGGGGCCTTGAACCCCGCCTGCGCTCTGGGCGCAAGGCTCCCCGGCGCTGGGCTTCCAGGGGGCTCCATCACCCACAGGCCTGTCCCAGGTGGCTGTCGGATCACCGTTTCCTCCTGACTTCTCTTCCAAACACTCCTGCAGACCTAGGAACGGTTTACTTGCGAGAATGTTCCAGAAAGCAACGTTTGAGTTAGGTTTACGGTGGAGCTGACAAAGGATGACACGCAGGCCAAATCCAACCCACTGCCTCCGTGGGTGGAAGTTGTGCCAGGCCCTTCCTCAGGGCCGCCTGCGCTGTTCTCAGGGGCAGTGGCAGAGCCAAGTAGCTGCCCAGAGGACACACGGCAGCAGGCCAGAAAGAGTTGCCAACTGGCCTTTGCCAGAAAAAGTTTGTGTCCTTTTCCCCCAATTCATACTTTGCATGGACTTTTCTCCTGAGACACAAAAGGTCTTGAACAAAAGCCATTTCTCCTACATTTCTCTCCTGCTCCTTTGCTTATTCCCTAACTTTGGGTACCGACTTCTCCAACAGCAAAGGACAAGATTCACCCCTTTGTGAGTCTTAACATTTGCATGCCACCCAACATCTTCTCTCCCAGAATATCCTGTTTAGAAGTTGGCTTCTTGATTTTTTTTTCTAAGCAAAGTCTGCGCACAATGTGGGCTTCAAACTCATGACCCTGAGATCAAGAGACACATGTTCATTCCACTGACTGAACCAGCCAGGAGTCCCTGGCTCTTTGAGTTAGGGTTAGGGTTTGAGTTTGTTTCCTCCACTCCAAAACAAAGTGGACAAAATATATATATATATTTAATGTCATAGAAAAAAGATACAATACTAAACAATAAAAAAGACCAAAACATATAATCCCAGGTTCCTAGGATTGAGCCCCGCATCAGGCTCCCTGCTCAGCAGGGGGCCTGCTTCTCCCTCTCCCTCTGCTGCTCCCCCTGCATGTATACTCTCTCTCTCTCCCTCAAATAAATAAAATCGTGTAAAATAAACAAAAATGAAAAGACCAAAACAGGGTGTCTGGATGGCTCAGTAAGTTGACTGTCCAACTCTTGGTTTCAACTCAGATCATGATCTCAGGGTCCTGGGATTGAGCCCCATATCAGGCTCCCCACTCAGGCGGGCTCCTGCTTGAGCTTCTCTCCTTCTGCTTCTCCCTCTGCTCATTCTATCACTCTCTCTAAAATAAGTATTTTTTCCTTTTTCCATTTAAAAAATAAAATAAAAAGATCAAAAAAATGAAAAATGGGCAACACATTTTAATAGGTATTTCTCCTAAGAAGACATACACATTGCTAATAAGCAGATGAAGAAATGCTCGACACCATTATTCATTAGGGAAACATAAAATTATAACAACACGCTGCTTCACACCCACTGCGACGGGGATAATCAAAAAGACTGAGGATTAAAAAAAAAAAAAAAAAAAAAGACTGATGATAGCAGTGCTGACCAGGACAGGGAGAAGTTGGAGCACTTTGTATACAGCTGCTGTGAATGTATAAATGGTGCAGCCCCTTGGGACACAGTTCTGCAGCTCCACAGAAGGTCAGACATGGGGTTACCACATGACCCAGCAATTCCACCCCCAGATATACGCCCACAAGAATCACAAGCCAGGACCCAGGAGGAAGGAAAACGTTTCTGCACAAAAACTTGCTCATGTTGTCATTTCCGGGCGGCGCAGGACAGAGTGGCCAACGGCCTGCAGAGCAACATGCCTAAGTTTTATTGTGACTACTGCGACACATACCTCACCCATGAGTCTCCATCTGTGAGAAAGACACACTGCAGCGGTAGGAAACACAAAGAATGTGAAAGACTACTATCAGAAATGGATGGGAGAGCAGGCTCAGAGCCTGATCGACAAGACAACCGCTGCATTTCAACCAGGAAAGATACCTCCTACTCCATTCTGGGCTCCTCCTCCTGCAGGGGCAATGATCCCACCTCCCTAGTCTCCCGGGTCCTCCTCGCCCTGGTATGATGCCAGCCCCCCATATGGGGGGCCCTCCCATGATGCCAATGATGGGCCCTCCTCCTCCTGGGATGATACCAGTGGGACCTGCTCCTGGAATGAGGCCACCTATGGGAGGCCACATGCCAATGATCCCTGAGCCCCCAATGATGAGAACTCCTGCCCGTCCCATGATGGTGCCCACTCGGCCGGGAATGACTCGACCAAACAGATAAGGAGAGACAGGAACCTCTTTATATTCATTTTATATTACTTGTTCTACTTCACCAGGAGATCATGGTGCTGTGACTCTGGGTGTTTTCTAACAGCATGACAAGGAAGACTTGTTTCCCCTTCCTATCAAAGAGAGAATAGTTTTTGCAGGGGAGTAGTGGGACAAAAAAAAAAGGGAGGAATTTTCGTTTGTATTGTGAAATGTGAAAATAAAATTGTCAACTGTTTTAGTTAAAAAAAAAAAAAAACTTGTTCATATACGTTCATAGCAGCACGATTCCCAACAGCCCAAAAGTCCAAACAACCCAAACGACCATCAACTAATGCATAAACAAACGTGTCCATTCATACCGTAGAATGTTAATCAGCCATAAAAACGAAGCAAAAATTAATAAAATAAAGCCTTATTAAAATAGAGGCCGGCCCAGGTGCACCGAGCCCAAGTGCCCATATGAACCTCTCTGCCCCAGCCGAGGGGAAGACTATCTTGAAGTCAGAGTGTGCAGAAGCCAGAGTATGAAGTGGAATGAATGCTCCTGTTCTGAGAAGCACACTTGTTGTAACTGCATCTTTTGGAATCCTTTTTGGGGGAGGCGGGGACTTATGTATTTTATTTCAAAGATTCTCTGGTCACAGGTTTTCCCCAGGGAAATTCTGAGAAATTTGCATTTCTTACCAGATAAAACATGGAGATTTTTGCCCTTAGTCCTACCCCCCAACCCCTCCCTCCTTTTTTTAGTTTTAATTTATTGGTTAAATTGATGGTGGCAATCCGTGAGGTGTGTCAAAGAGCGTACAGATGTATGTGTGTATATTGTATGTATGCTAACATATTACTGAAGGACACATTTTAATAAAGATTTCTGTCGTAATTCAAAATAAAATAAAATAAAATAAAATAAAATAAAATAAAATAAAATAGAGGCCAGGATGAGAATCCCTTGTCCCTACCCTAGTCCTCCCTGGTCCTCAAGGCAGACCCAGAGGGAGGCCCAGCATCCTGGGGGCCACACTACTTTAGCGGGGGACTTCATTGCCCCAGCAACAGCCCAGCCAATGAGAGACGGTTACAGCCCAGCCAATCAGAAGCCACCACGGTAGCACCTCCCCCCCACGTTGCTCCAATGGATGTCTCTGTTAGCGCAGCCCCGCCCACATCCTCTGCTCTGTAGAAGAGCGGCCCTCCCTTCCTTCTCCAGATTTGCCTGTGGTTTGGCTGTGTGGCTCCCAGCTTCCCTGTTACAATGATTTATTCCCACATAAACCCAGTTTTCCTACAAAACAACTGACATAAAGTTTTATTTCTTTTTTTTTACGTTTCCCTTTTTTTTAAGATTTTATTTATTTATTCATGACAGATGCACAAAGAGAGAGGCAGAGACCCAGGCAGAGGGAGAAGTAGGCTCCATGCAGGGAGCCCGATGTGGGACTCGATCCCGGGACTCCAGGATCGTGCTCTGGGCCAAAGGCAGGCGCTAAACCGCTGAGCCACCCACGGATCCCCTAAAGTTTTATTTCTAATGACAAACCTGTGACTTGGTGATCATGCACGGGCCCAGAGAAGACCCCAACCACTCCCAGCTGCTGAGCAAACAGGTACGGGTCCCCCCAGGACCCCCCACTCTCCCCCCGACCCTGAGCTGAGGCTAAGTCCTGTCCTGGGGTCAGAGCCCCGCTCCGGTGTGCTCTCTGCAGGGTCGGCTTGGGACCCGTGTGAGGGGCTCGTCCTCTGAGACGACTCCCCGGGCTTTGGTTCCAGCTCCTTTCCTCTCTGAGCGGTGCCTGATGGAGATGTGCTGGCTTTTGGGTTGACTCCTGGTGCTCTAGGGGACATTTCCCTTTTTCCTCTAGAGAAAAACCTCTAGGAAATGGGATCTCGGTCACCCAAGTGCTTTGTGGGCAGCACTCCCTTCTTTCTCGTGTGTAAAAACTGGGCTCCCGGGGATCCCTGGGTGGCACAGCGGTTTGGCGCCTGCCTTTGGCCCAGGGCGCGATCCTGGAGACCCGGGATCGAATCCCACGTCGGACTCCCGGTGCATGGAGCCTGCTTCTCCCTCTGCCTGTGTCTCTGCCTCTCTCTCTGCGTCTCTCATGAATAAAATATTTTTAAAGACTTTAAAAAAGGATCCCATGAGCTGTTTGGAGGGATAAAAAGTTCAGAAATCACAAGTCCTTCCTTCATTTGAACTATTAAGTGAGTTAGGATTCTTATCCGAATTCAAGGTCGCTGAATTTGCAACCTTACAGGCTGTGTTACTGATAACACATTCAGTTCCAAATAGTTTGAGATAATTACACAGTTTCAAAACAGGTTGGAAGTTGTGCTACTTTGGCAAACACGTCACCAGCTAATCCCGTGTCCTCACCTGCCCCGTCTCCGCCCAAAGCCGTGGCCTCATTCTCTCCCCGAGCTCCTGCAGGATCCCTCTCCCGCTCTCCTGCCGCCCGGAGCAGGGACCTCCAGGGCACACAGGACTCCGGGTTTGCCCACAGGGAGGACGTCCTCCCCCAGGTTGGAACAGGTGCCTGGATTAGACTCATTTTACCACTTGGGACTGTCACGTTATTTCTGTTTTGTAAAATTATTTCAAGTTTGCATACTGTTGCCTGTGAAACTTTTGTGGAAATGATGTACAGATGGGATGAGCACTGGGTGTTATACTATATGTTGGCAATTTGAATTTAAATATTTTTTTAAAAAAAGAAAATGATGTACATAATAAGTAGATGCTCCCCAGAGCTTACAATCCTGATTAACTCAGACTAGACGGGAAGTGCCTGAGTTGGATGCTTGACAATGAGGAGTTTAACAGTATCTAAATTACACCTCAATTTTAAAACATTAATGAGAGGAAGAGGAGAAGAAGAAATCATTGGATGAAGGTGAGTAGGAGCCCGAAGCCCCCCGGAGGTGTTTTCAAGCCTGGATCCCGGGTGCGGGCAGATGCGGGGAGCCCCCCACCCCGGGGGCAGAGAGCAG